GAATCGGGGTTCCCTGTTTTACACCAAAAGGGTTCTCATACCATAAGAGAAAATCAAAGATACTCAGTGCCTCCAGTTGGTGCTGACATTCCATGGAGGCCACGCATCTTCCTGTAGTCATTCTGCAACACCACTGTGCAGGCAGATCACACAAGGTGACCAATACATTAGCAAGCCACTCAAGAGAAAAGACTGCGAGAGGCAGCTCGCACCCAGGAGGCTAAAAACACTGGTCCTAGGTCCCAGGCAACCTTAATCCATCAATGAAGCACTCATCTCTTGTGCCAACCTGTGCCAGGAAAACACGTGGGTCTCAGAGACTCTGGGTATCGATTAATGCCAATTAATTATCTTCATGTGCTGCAAGCTTATCACATATTTCCTCATTTCTCAAAGCAAAACAAGAAAAGATTTACTTAATGCATCAAATGCAAATTATCCTCTCCTTGCAGTCGCTGGCTCAATCTTTTTTTTATGTAAAAGCTTTTAAACCTTTACACATAATGCATTCAAAAAGAATGCAAAGTGATTTTGTTCTTTCTAGAACAGGTTAGCTATAGCTTAAGGAGGTAATGACTCTCATGAGCAAAGCTGTAACAATACCAGAAGCAATAAGGAAAATTAAAATTTGGGACCCTTCTTACCAATCAGTGCATGCAATTTCAACACTTAAAAAAAGAGCATAATTACTGCTCTCGCTAATCAATTTGCAACACATAACTCACCCTTTATACAATATTAATTTATAGTGAATTTATAAATGTTATTAAGAACTTAGCAAAGTAAATTGAATTTTAATTAGATTGCAATTCATGAAATCCGACAAAGTGTTGATGTAATTAATTGAATGTGAAATTGCTAATTAAGCCAATATGAAATTACAATGTGCTTACTATGGGACAATCCTGTTATCTGTCATGACACTATGTAAACATGTTGCACTTTACGTATGCTAAACCATGTTGTCAGGGTAAAACCAAGTGCAAAAGGGAAAAGGGCATAAAACGTTTAAACAAATTTCCTCCTTTATTCCCTAAAAGAGCATGACTGAGAAATGTCTTTTTTAAAGTCACCAATATACATTAGAAAGGCAGAAACCACATTTTAGCATCCTTGAATCCTTGAACATGTCAGCTTCCATTCCCATAGAAGGGTATCTGTTTTCATTTTGGTTGGTTTTTTAAATTCTATTTCTTTGCAACCTATACCCATGGCAGAGCTGAATCAGCCAATCTCACAATGTACTTCCAAACAGTGCATAAGAAGGCCTTACAGAGAATGTTGCATGAACACAAGTCTACAATTTGTGGTCAAGAGTTGACATTATGCCGCAGCATCAGCATGCAAGATGCAAAGGCGCAAGTAGGGGTCAATTTCACACTGCAGGGTAACAAGAAAGATGACAATGTTTTGGCTGTGGACCCTTCCTCAGTTTGTGGTCTAACTTCAAGGGAAGTTGCCTCCGTACAAGAGAACCTTTATTCTCGCTTCTTAAGTAGTGTAAAGACAGAGCACGGCTAACACACGGAGACCCCTGTGGATCCACGAACAGCACTGTGCTCCAGTTGACCAGTACAGGAACTGGCGCTTCATTCTCCAGAGCCAGAGGCTCACTGCAGTCAGCGTCTTCCGAGGGAGTCGGTTTAACATCGCCACGCCTATGTTTTCTCCGCTGCATTCCAAGGAGATCGCCGCCACGGCACTGTTTTTGAGTAAGCTGACTCTCCCTCTCTCCAGAATTCCCAACTGATAGATCCCAGACCCCTTGCCCCAAGTTAATGGATGCTCCAGCTCTCAGCTGGCAAACGAGTTCCTTCTTCACACAGCCGTCTGGAAATTGCTGTATGTCGCGGCCCTGTAATGTGGAAAGCAGCTGGCTGGACCCAAGGCCGCTTCAGCGCATGCAAATCGGGGGCACAGGAGTTAATTCAACAGCACCCGAGTCTATCTCATTTTCATACATATAAATACTCGGGGAGGCGAGATCGATTACTGCAATCAAATTGAAATGCCGAGAGGTGTTGCAGCCAGGAGGAAAACAAAGGGCACAGGAACACGAGGAGACGGCCTCGCTCCGGAGCGCCAGAATCACATTTCCAACAGGCTGTGGCCATCCTGACCCTAGTGCAAAAACACAAACCCCAGGAAATACATTCCCGGGTGCTGTACAGGCCAAAGATAATTGCTCTGAGACTCTCCCCTAAATGAACAGTAACATATAAAGCCGAAGCTGTGGGTTGGAACGCAAGGTTCAAAAATGGAAATGAGACAGGCAGGGGTGGGAGTGGCATGGGGTAAATGCAAGACTGAAGCCTTTAAAAAAAACGGTTTACTGCCTCTATACAAGGTCACTGTGAGTCAGAGTAAACACTTCAGCGCAGATTCACACGTCCCGCTTTTGGCCACTGAGAGAGCAAGACAGTCGCCCCAGCAGGACAGCACATTTCGCAGCCACTGAACAGCTCTGCTGCGGCATGAGAGCCGACTGTGGACTTCAGCTACTTTGGCAAAAGGTTGACTGTCCTTTTGATTCCAGTAAACAGGCCGCTCAGCAAGCCAGGCGCGATCTCAAGCTGCGCCGTAGTAGCGCGACGTGGCGCCGCGGCCGGACACGGCGGCCCGCGGCGCGCAGGAAGCCAGGCCGCAGCTCGGCTCGGCCCGCACAGGGTTAACGGCACAGCAGCTGCTCCGCATCTGCACGGAGACGCACAGCGGACAGCGCTCGGCCGCGCCAGGAGAGGAGAATGCGTGCTTCGACAAGCAATTTGTCTTTCCTCCTCGTTCTAGCTGCTCTGGGCACTACTTCATGGTGTGTGCCTGCGCGTGAGGCACTCGGGGGGCAGCTGGGAATGACGCCATCGGGAGTTTGTTTTGTCGGTACTCTGAAGAGTCTTCAGAGGCCCCCCGAGCTACAGTACACACTGCCGCAGTCAACAGTGCATTTAATCAGACTGGAAGCCTAGGCATCCTCTCCAGCATGCTCTTGCACCCCTCTCTTTTTCTCCTCCTCCTCCTCCTCGGGTCTCTTTCTCTCCTCCCTCTCTCCCCTATCTTGCCTGGTTCGATTCAACACTTCCCTGGACTCCTGGTCCCGGGTTCATTTTCATCACTAACCTTCTTCTTCCTTCACAGTTATGTCTCTCCACCTCCTCCCCTGTCTCTCCCTGCTAAGGGCCTCCTCAGAGCAGCAGTCTCAAGCCTGGAGTGCTGTCTTAAACTCCGTTCCCCCCCCGAGCCAAGACAGCGCACTCTCTCCAGGACTTTTCCCTTCAGAAAACCAGAATATTCCCAAAACCGGAATTCCAGTGAACACAAAACTAAGAAAATATGAACTAACAAACAATGAAAAATAACATATGGAAGCCAGATATTTCAGATGGATGAAATCAAGAGATACCAACATTATTCTAGTCTGAATTCTTCTACCGATGAAAGTTTACAAACTGCAGCTGATTTACAGTACTGAAGTCCACAACACTCTGATTACGCGATTAAATCTACAAAGAAACGTAAGTAAAAATATCCATAAACACTGTCCTGCAGTGACTGAGGGTGGGAAGAGACTGATATTCTGGACCTTTTATTAAAATGCCTCCATGTTCAGAAATGACATCGCACAAAGAGAAAGGGAGGGACTTCACTTCTGCTGAAGGAGGGTCTTAGCTTTATCCACTGCTACTTCACAACAACTTCTATTTACGTGAGTGCTTTCTCATCACGACTAAGGACCTGAGAGCACTTCAGCACAATGTCCCAGCTGAACCTGCCATGCACTGAAGAGCTGGACCACCTCTAGGCTGAAAAGCTGCTATTTGCCAGCTTCAATCTTAAGTATCTCGTTTCTTTTCCTGACCACTGACTGCCGAGACACAGGAACCCAAACGGAGAAATGACCACTGGAGTGCCATCAGCAGATGCTCTAATGAGATTTACATCAGCTGGGCTTTGACAAGACGTAAACCCAGACCCCATCTGCTTTCCTGACAGCACCAGTAAAGACCTACCCAGTTCCCTTCTGGAGGAGATTAACAGATCTCCAACGGAAAACTCTCCCATTAAAAGCTTTACTTCTCTACCCGGCTGCTGTCTGCGCAGTGCCGCCATCACACTGCCTCCCCCACCTTAACGTGAGATTAGAACACATGACAAGCAGACAAGTATTTACTCAGGTGCTTTCAAAACTCATGTGCCTTGCTCGGAAAAACGCCTTCCACTTGATTAAAAACATCGTTCCTTCAAACAGTGACAAAGCAGGCCAAACAAAATCACCAGGTCATGCAGTCACCAGGACTCACAACCCCGGCACAACTCAGCTTTTCAAAGCTGATTCCACCACAGTTTTAAAAACCCACCTCAATGGATGCGGTCAGAAAGCTTTACAAAACATTACACCAGTAATAGCTAACCTGTGTTTGGACCTAGAATGGAGGACCATACCAGCTGAGCAAAGTTAAAGTACAATGGAAAAAGAAATGAGGCAATGCCACAGATCAGTCCTCTGCTTCTGTGAGAGGCCCTTGCCGGAGGGGCACACAGGGCAATAGAGACAGCTGGCAGGAAGTGATGTCATACTCCCGGCAGGAAGTGATGTCATACACGGCTAGACAGTCCACATTAGCAGGAGGTAAAGAGGCTTGTTTTGGAGCGGGAGCCATTCCAAAACGCAGCCAGGCCTTCTCGTCATCCGGCCAGCCACAACAAAAACCAGACTGGAACTGTGCTGAGCCCAATTCAAATCAGCTTGTTTACACTGAATCAAAGCATATGCTAATCAAATCAGTTCCAATATTAATAATCAAATAAGCGTCGCATCAATCTACACCGCAATACAGAATTGTCCCTAGACAAAAAACAGAAAGACACCGTTACTTACCATACTGAACGTCTTTACAAGGAGAGGAATCAATAAATGGGATGTCTATTTTACCTCTATTTTTTTAATTGACATTTAATATGGGAAACCACGGATAAAATCATGTACGGGCATTTTCAGCACTCACCTTTGGTTTTCTGTTCAGCAGCCTGAAAGGAAAAAACAGAAATGAAATGAACAGCTGAAACGGTTAAATTTATTATTGAAAACATTATAATGTTCAAGTTATCCTTTGGAACACGTTCAATAGCAACAAGGCAAGGTGACACAAACAACACACAGGACCAAACACTAAGAAAAAACGCTGTCACCCCTAACTGTATGATACTCTACACAGACCTGAAAGGCACAAGATCCTCTGACTGTTTTAATAGATCAAACCATGTCGCTAAAGAGCGGATCACCATTATCACTTACCTCAACAATGAAAAGCTAGATGCCTGTGAATGTCTCACATTCAGAATGACAATTGCCTAAGAATTCATACAGCAGCACTAAACTACAGTTCAAAACCAACTCTGGGTGGCATTCTGGGCCTTGTAATATTAACAGTGTGTACAGCCATCAGTTTAGAATTGATATTACAATTTGATTACTATGATATTGTTTTAGCTTGTTAGGAATTCAATCGGTAAATGTTATTCATATGTTATGTATGTAAGAGTATTCAGGGAGGGAACATGCATGCTATCTCTGAAACATTAACCTATTCACTGTTACAGCAATGACTGTAAATGGGATACAGTCATCTTAGAAATATCCTGGCTAACTTTATTTTGTAGTACTAGAGAAATTTCATAATCCAGCAATTATCCACTACTCTGGAACTCCCAGAGTTTTATTAGTTGAAGCTGCATACTAAAAAAAGCATAATAAATTACAAAATAGATAAATGCTTCAGTTTGTTTTTTTAAATATGGAGTGTACTCTCAAAGTATTTTGAGTACAAATAATAAATGGCTTCTGCAACACATTCTTGCTGTTCACAATGGGTTGCATAAAACTGCGAGCTTTACAGATGGTAATTTACTGAATCATAAATCCAGACCAACCAAATTAAAACCAGGCTTGAGATCAAATAGTTCAGCTGGTGTAACTCATTCTCACTTTAAACTCTAAAAGAAAGGTAAATGGAGATAGTGGCACATTACACCACTTACCCACTAATCCGAGAATAATTAGATACACAAGCCCAGAAGTGTGGAAGGCCAGTCACTCATTGAATAATTCCAGGGCTCTAAGCTAATCAGCCTGCAATAACCTCCCCTGGACAACACTACGACTCTCTGCCACTCCATTAGGAGAAGGGAGCTTCTCAACATCAGACCAGGGCAGCCACAAGCCGAGCGGATGTGTGTGCGGTGCAAACACACAGAGCCAAGCATTTCAGCGGAGTGGAAGTGTTTTAAAAGCCACAGTTAATTAACAGAACAAATACCCACTCGGGCCCCGCAGAGCCCTATTTACAGGGGGTTCCTGTCCTGTTAACAACCTGAAACAAGCAGGCCTGCATCGCGTCAAAAACACCTGAGGTTCTTGCGCAAGGTCAGGTACTCGCAAGCGGGGCAAAAAGAAATGAACCCACCTTTTTCTGAGCAGCGTCCCTCTTTTTCTTTTCTTCTTGCCTTTTCTTTTTCTTTTCTTCCATCAAATGGTTCTCGTCTTGTGTCTCCTGCTTCTTCTCTCGGCTGGAAGAGAAGCAGACAGGTTTTGTTAGCCGAGAGGTCAGAGACTATGGGGGGGGGGTCAAGCTTAGCAGATATAACACCTGCAAACTCCCTTCCATCTCAGTCTGCTGCCAGACATCCATTGCTCACCTCAAGCCCTTCAATAAAAGAGCAGGGCCGAGGAAATGTGAAAGCCAATAAAAGGGCAGCTCTCTTTTCAACATTGCCAAGAAGATGTAACAGCTTCCTCAATATAGAAAGACATTCCCCAGCTCCGTTTTACCAAACGCTGCTGGAACACGATCACGTTCACATTAACAGAACCCGGGGCACTGAGGACTAGGTTTCTAGCGATGACGGGTATCTCCGATTTCCCCGTGGTGGGTGGAGGGCCATTTCTGGACACTACAGAGCGGCTGGACATGAGGAAGGTGCGACTGCGGCGCAGCCTATAGCCAGCTGAAAGAGTAACGTCAACCCCCTCTGAAATCTAGACAGTGTCAATCCTGGCAGGGAGGGGCAGAGGGAGCACACACGTTTCCTGTGGCGGAGGAGCCTGGCTGTCAGAGCAGCACAATTACCCGCTGTCTAGGGGTGAAGTGGTGGGTGCTTCGAGCCCCTGAGTGCGCAAGATCAAATCCCAGCAGGGACTTCACCCGGTCCACCACACGCTAGCAGGTGTTCCCTGGGCCAGTTAGCAATCACTGCAGCACATGATCCTCACTTGAAGGAAAACAGACACTGCAGGAAGGCTAACAACACGAGACTGCTTCACTACCTCCGCATCATCACAGCTATGCGCCGATGTTTCATCGGCTACACCTCAGAGAGCTCCAAGCATACTGGGAAACGCGACCCCTTTGGTTTAAGAATCCATTAAAAAAATCCATAAACAATTATGCTCTTAACAGTTTCTCCCTTGCCTGGGGTTAAGATTACACACAACAATTAAAAAAGAAAGTGCAATATAAAACTATTTATAATAATAGCCTCTGCTAGCATACCCATTAATTTCTTTATAGTTTATAAGCGACTATAACCCATCCCTAAAACGGAAGTATCACTAGAGAAATGCAAGTTCAAATTATATCCACAATTTTATTATTAATCTTACCCTCAGGTAAGTACAATGCAGATATTTACAGGGAGGTCACCACCTGAGTTCAGTAACACTTTATATGACCCAGCTCTCCAAGACACCAAGATTTTCCCCGAGTCCTACGGAGGCCTACAGCAGGCAGAGATTAGCAAAGTGCGGGACTGGATTTAGGACTCAATTCCTGGAGCGCAGAACAAGAGAAAACAGCCTCTGAAACTCAGAGTCTTCCAATTGTCAAATTTCCTGCACCTCCTTAAGATATTCAAATTGTTTAAATATACTCAGGAGACCACATGGCTCGGTCAGTAGCTCACTAAATACCAACAGTTAAAGCTGAATGAATCCATTAAATGAATCCATTAGTTCACCTCTTCTTTCCAATAAATCAATACCTCAGTAACCGACTGCAGCAAAGCAAGAGGACTGGGAGAAGTACAGTATCCTACCCTGAAAGCTCTAGACCACAAGAATTGGCAAACACTGATTAAATGCAGGCACTGTACTCACAATTGCCATCGGGAAAATGTACATTTTCAAAATGATCCTATATTGGATGTTCAGAAATACAGGGCACATTCCAAGAGAACAATAACCTACAGTATGCAGCATGGGATCCTTAGTGCCAACCACAGCTCCAATCAACACATCCCAACTGTAAAACAGACTATAATGCTAGACATCCCCTACATGACCTACAGCACTTAACGGCATTGCACATTTTCACTGCCACTCCGATCCCAAGGCATTCAAGACTGGACTGGAGTACAGCGTAGAGAGCAGCAACATCTTTCCATCCATCAATTTCTCCAGAGCCACAAAGAACACAGTCAGGCATACTACATCCCATTAAAAATCAGAAATCAAAGAAGCTGTCCACAGCACTTCTCTCCTCAAGAAAAAAAGGCACTTCTTCTGCTGAAAACCTGATCGGCGGCAGAAATAATTTAACAATTAAACCAGGAGAAGAAAAAAAGAACTGACAGACACAAAAGCCCAGCTAGCTGAAGAGTGTAAGCCTGCGTTTCTTTTTTTTAAGAAAAGAAAGATGTTAAGTGGAGAGACCCAGCATTACGTGTGTGGAGGTGTGAGTGGGGAGCTGTGTCAGGACGCGTTGGCTGTGGAGGAACAATCAGTGGTCAGTTCTACACAGCAAAGCAGAAAGAGAGATGAAGGGAGTCTTCTTGAAGTGGCTCAGCATGCAAGTTCAGGCTTCATATCAACAGTTAATATCTCTGACCTCTTTTGTGAGGTATTCCGCTTACTGAGAGAAAATAAAGAGGGGTTACTTTCAGCAAAGTATTTCAAAGGCTTTCATGACACCCAACCAGCTGCTCAGTTAGGGTGTCACTGTTTCAGTTTCAGTCATTTCAATTCAAGGTGCTTTATTAGCATGACCGATGGGTACAATCAGTGTTGCCAAAGCAAATAAAATAATGAAATTCACATGAAACAAAACAAAAAATAAAATTAATATAAAATCTACAGACATATTATAGACATTTACAACAATGACATATTATAAAATATTTACATATACTGTAGACAGAAGGAGCATTATTGGGAGACAGACTCACTGTTCCTCAGGCTGTGACAGGAGATCACATACTGGGCTGCCAGTTCAACTGAGTTCCCTCCTCCCTCTACCAGTAGGATTGGGACCCGTTGTGATTCTGGCAGGTGTGGGAACTATGGGACTAGATTTCCGAGTTTAGGGAAGAATGTTTCTCTAATCCCAGAGTATCACTGAAAACTTAACAACAGACCATCCCTGGCTAGAAACACAGCAAACAACCCAATTAAAGTGTACAGATCCAAATGAATTTAAAATGCAATTTCTTCCCAACGAGAAGGGGGAAAAACTAATTTTCCTTTCGTCTTAAAACCCAGCTGAAAAGAAAGAGACCGCAAACTCAATGAATGACTGATATTTTGATCACTCATCACCCTGTGCTCTGTTTGCCAGAGAGCTTTCCAGCTTTCCTGTTCAGTAAACCTGTCCGCACACCTCAGCCCCCCCCCCTCACCCCCAGTGGCCTGGTGTTCAACACCCCACTGCAGGAAAAGCGCTCTATTGTTTGAGCTGGCCTATGAAGTGAGCCCCATGCCTGCCAAGCACAATGGGGCTCATTGTGCTCGTCCCCTGCTGTCTGAGGAGGCTCCACTATCCCCATGAAACACCCCCCTCTCCCGGCCGAGCCACACCCCCTCGCCCCCCACAGACAATAGGACCAGCTGACACAGCCACACGGGACGCAGAAGGATAATCGTGACAACGAGAGCCTGCATTCGGAAACTAGACTGGGGGGGGGCGTCAAGCCAGGCGTGGCGCCGAGTCCCGTTTGTCGGGGGAGACGTCACTCAGGGTGACGGACGGCTCGTTCAGCATGCTAGTGTCCTCCGGGCTCCGGGACGAGGTATCCAGGCTGTCGACGTGCTGCTGGGAGCCCAGTCGCCCTGCCAGTTATTCACAGTCTCCTCACAGCGAACCCACAGTCCTGCTCCCCCCAAACGTTCATGTGACCCTGGAATAGAACCCTGCCTCTTCCAGGCATTTACAGCAAGTCTGTCTGGACGCATTCCACTGAAGGCCAGGCTTCAGGGCTGAATAAATTGCACCCATGTGTTATGTAAAAGGCCCCCCCATGCATTCAAAAATCTTGAATTTCTTTAACTCTGTGCAAGCTAACATTTTCCAGTCAGTGTGCACAAATAAAATGGTTTCCTTTGCTTCTGTTCTAAGAGTTTTCAAAAATTCGACATCTACTGAATTAACACTTCAATAACAGTATGTGCAGATTCATAAAAAAGTCTATGCAGTCTCTAACGTACAATCGGCATTCCAAATATTTAGGTGCAATGCTATCGCCACAATTTTCCTTCAGCCAGTAAAAAGGATCCAAAAATAGTATTCCGAGTGAAAATGCTACACCCACTTAGCAGAAGGAAATATCAAAGATAACAAAATGACTTTTGAATTTAGATAAAATATCTACCGGCAAGTACCATGTGGTACAGCTAATAAACGCAATGCAAAGTGAAGTGCTATAGTACGTCTCATCATCAAAGAAACTGATATTAAACTGCAGGATTGGCTCCTCTGCTCTCATTTTCTTGCTTTGTAATGGAATGGGCGAATGAGAATCTCAGTGATTACACTGAAGAGATCATCACACTGCTCAGAAGATAAATTACAGAAATTTATCTGCACACAGAGGACCAATTCAAAACTTCATCCATCATCTAAGCAGGGCCTAAAGAATGACACCACCAGGAATCCTGCACAGTGCTCTGCAGAATGAGCAGACAGCTCTGGTCGCTTCTTGACAACAGGCTCATCACCCTTCTCCTCAGCACTCAGCGGTTCTGTCTGACATTGCTGAAACTGCACCCACAAACCCGAATCTGAATGAAAACTTTCCCTCCTGGTGGAATTCTTTCACACAAGAGCCAGCCAGGAGCAGACACGGTGCTCGCAGTCGACCGCAAATCAAGATAACACACAACAACAAAATGTTTTCGATTTTTTAATTGACAACTTTCACTAAACACTGACATAAAAGAATATTTCCTTCTTGTCAAAAATTGTCATTTTTCATTACTTTTGCTACCATGTAACCAAGAAACCAATAGAGTGAGGTACAGGCTGGCATTAAAGGGACTATGTTTAAAGAGGGAGAATGAAAACAAACTTGTTAGAAAAACTGGTTGCTGGGGTTCATTAAGTGGCACTGTATAAGCCAACTGGAACAGCATCACTTGCTCGTTAAGAGCAGTGAAAGAAACTGGTCTCATTCGTTTCTCACAGACCCAATGGTAAGTTCAAAGGCCGGGTCCATCTCTGTCTGGAGTGTGGATGAAAAGGTTCCTGCGGCAACAAAACTTGTTCCTTCCGTGTAAGAGGTGGCTTCCAGAAGGAAAAAATATTTATACAGGTGAGGACAAACATTTCAGACGGCCCTAGTTTTGACACGTAAGTTAACTGCTTCTCGAACGTTTATGCCATAAGACACTAGGGAACTCACACTGATCATCTGCCCTGTTATAAAGCAGCACTTCTTCATGATGTGAGGAGAACACAGAGCAAACACAAAGGAAAGATTATTTACTGCTAGGCTCAATTTCTTTCCATTACACTGTGTGGTTACGTGCTTGCGGTTGCAGATGCGTTTGTTTTTTCTCAAGGTACTGGGCGATTATCTTCTTTCACATCTCTTCTATCATGGCTGTTCTTTCTAATGATGAAAGACTCGGCACGGGCTCTGCCTCCCGCGCAGGTCTTCCAGGTCCGGAGTGCAGGCACAGGCAACCGTTACATACGAACGGTGAAGATTAAAAAGACCTTTGGGATTTAAGTAAGAACTGGACAGCCTGGAATGGGGTGGGGGTGGGAGGATGCGGCAGGGAATTTCTCTCTGCCTTTAGCTGCGCGGCAGAAAGCTCTTTCCGAAGGGAGTGAAAAGAAAAGTTGCAAATAATGGAAAAATGTTCCATTTCTTTATTTGTGGCAAGATAACGGCAGCCAGATCTTGAGCTTCTGCAGCGTCCAATCAAAACAAGGCCAGCGAGCACTCAAGGGCACGGAGGTCTACTGGTTTTTATTATCCAGTATTACTCAACAGGGCTCAGCTGAATAACATGAAGGCTACAGCAGCACCCAGCTACAGTAGACCTGTAAGTGCCAGATGACCCACGAGGGGTCTTAACAAAACGGGTCTTAAGACGCCATCAGCTCACTTGGCAGCGATACTTCAACGTGAGCCGGGGGAACATACGTTGTTTGTTTGTTTGTGTTTGTTTGTTTGTTTTTTGGAGGTCAGCCGTCCCCCAGCCGCTGGAGTGGAAAAAAAAAAGGAAGAAAGTTTGCCCCCAAAACTATTTAAAAACACAGTAAGTCCGGGCTGACGGCACAACGCAGGAGCCCAGACGCGACCTGCTCGCTGGGGGGGGGGAGGCAGAAGGCAAGAAGAGCAGAGGAGCAGGGCAGGAAATGCAGAAGGGCGAACGTGAGCGGGGGGGGGGCAGACGGCTGCTCAGGAAGAGCCCTTTCCATCTCCAGCCACCAGGCACGGGTCCGTGCTCCTGCGCGCCTCGGCCAGAAGAGAGACGCAGAGGGAGGGGGGAGAAGGAGAAACCGGAGGGAGGCGAGCGGAGCCCGACGCTCCGGGCTGAAGGCCAAGAATGTCGGCGCTGCAAGACAGAGGTGCGCGTTCCCACAGGGCCCTCCGGCTAGCACCAGCCGCAGGGCCGGGAGGAGACCTGCGGCCGGACACGGCGGCCACGGCCTCTCTCTCTCTCTCTCCTGCCTGCCTGCCTGTCGCGACTCTCGCTTGAGGAAGTCGCAGCTTTCCAAGCTTTCCCGAATGGGACTTAATCCGGCAATCCCGCGACCCGACGCTTGAACCCGGAACATCCGAGGAAAGACCAAACGGATCAAGAAAGCTTAAAAAAAAAACAGATGTCGCTGCAAAACAGAAGGGGGGGGTTGGGGGAAGATGTAGAAATCCTGCATTACGGTCTCTAATTTGATGGTTCAGAAATACTTAACCCCCTTCTCCGTGTGATGTGGTTCGTTCTGGCAGATGTAAAACTGTACCCCCTCTGCTCTAACTATGATTTTACCACCTCATGACAAACTAATTTTTTCAAATACTTCACTTTGAAAGTCTCAATAGCTCTAAAAACAGAACTCATGACTCATTTCTAAATCACCCAGCTAAGATTTTCATTTCCTCCAAGTGTAGCCCATGTATTCGTTAGCCTGCAAAAACAAAACACTTTCGCATATAGGTAGCAGATGTCTTTAACTTGGGTACAGTCATATCTGCACTACAGGATTTCTGTAGACACAACAGTTAAGATTATGCCAAGAATAAATAAGAAATGAGCAAACAATAAGGACTTCTGGAAGGGAAATGGAATGTTAATGTACTAGCATGTCTATAAAATCAATTTCCGTTGTGAAGAAAGTGTGAGGGTTTGACTATGTGGCCTCAAAATCATCCATCTGGTCACAAGTTTTCTTTCTTTGGAAAATGAGGTACAACTATCACGTACTGCCAGCTGCTTAGTAAGAACTGTATAAAACAAGTCAGTGCAAGAAAGGGAAATTACTCAATGAAAGGACAGATTTAAATGAAATTATATATAACCACAGAAACTGCCTTTACCATGGGGGGAAAAGCACCACACTTAAAACACGACTGACCAAGAATCAGGTTTCTGAGTGGCAAAGGTTTACCTCCTGGACCAAAACGCAGTGTTCATCCTGTACAACCCAGTCCAACAACATCCAAAGAGACGCTAAACTACTGCACTGCAGCCCCGACACACATCCCTCTAACCCAGAGACACCCCAGCCTAGAGTTTTCCTGCTCGCTCTAAAGGTAGAGCCCACAATATGCAAGCTTTTTGTTTTTGTTTTTTTTTATTTGGTTTCCGGTTTTCAATTACTTTCTCACACTTGGCAAGTCCAGAGTAGTTTCGTATCCCGGCTCAAGGCTACAAGCCCCGGGACCGCGGGTGAGGAAGAGCAGACGGAGCCGGCCGCAGCCTCTCCCGTGTTCAGGAGGCTCGGCATCGCAGACATGCACTCCCGACTGGCGTGTCGGGACAGCAGGCACGCGGGTATCCAGGGAAGTCGCCGCGTCGCTGGGGGCCCACGACAGCCCAGCGAACTCACCCCAAGCCGGTCATCAGCACCGCTCGGTGCACACAGGTGAGGATGCCTAGATCACAAGAGCTCAACCTGCACAGGCTCCTTTGCCAGTACAGCCAACCACAAACCTCAGTGATCTCCACAGTTGAGGAATTAGACAAAAGGATTAAGGACAAGAAAGTCTGAAGGGGGGGGGGGCTGGGGCTACCACACCTCAATGAGTCCTCAAAAACCATGACTTCCTCTAGCCTCATTGCCCTCCAACGCTTGAGAATCCAAAGATCTGCAAACAGAGGTCCTTGCAAAAGACACATCCCAGTCCCGGGACTGAGCCCAGGAGCAACACTGGGGTTAATACCACAAGGCACCCACTAGTCACACAAAAACAAGCTCGCCCCCACCCTAGAAGCACCCACACAGTAAACCGCTTCAAATCTCCAGCAATTAACAGAAGCAATAGGGCTTCTCAAGGGACTGCAAGGGGAAAAGCCAAGTAGTGCTGGAATGCCCACGAAGGCAGAAGACCCATTTTGTAGTTAAGTCACCCCCTTACCAACGGACAGAGGCATGTGTCCCACCGCTCCGGTTAGGTACCTGAAAGGAAATCATTGTGATCCGTGATAAAGTCACATTCCAGGGCAGACTGGATAGATTTCGGGGTGTTTACAACAGCTTTGGCATTCCTAAAACAAGCGCATCTTGCCACCAATAAACTCTTTGAAAATGTATGACCATTTCATACCACTACAAATGAGGCAGATTTTTAGAGAAGTGTTTCCATTTTCAAATAAAGGCTTCACCTTTCAGCGACAGCCTTCATCCGATGTAATACAATATGTACACATCTGACTTCATTATTTATCTCTCTAATAGTTCTTTTCTACAGGATTACCTCTGGATAGCTTTGTGCATCTTTAAATGTCATAAAGAAATCTCATGTTGTTGTACCAATGTGAACAGAAACACACACCTGCCAATCTACTTACCAAATCCAGAAGCCTTGACTTGCTTTTTAAAAGTTAAAAATGCCATAGAAAAAAACATAAAGCTTTCGATTTATAAATCTCAGCACAGGAAATTCATTAACTTCATCTGCTAACCCGCTTGACAACAGTGAACAGTATCAAAACTATAGTTTCATCTTCTTCCATTCTAGACTAAAAGAATTGCTTACATATTCACCAAATATTCCAGCACAGTCCCTGCATGAAACACAGATCATTATTTCACTTAAATGGATTTGTTCACTAATAAGAAATGCATGCATGAATTACACAAACAAATGCAGAAATAAAAGTATTCTGAGATAACAATACCAAAGAAAAATATTAAATATGATAAAACAGGCTCTAATTACAATGATTGAAAAAGAAGCTGTCTATAAGCCATATGTAAAGCAGGCTTTAAACACGGGGAGGTGTCAATCAAAATAGCTGACAGTACTGATGCCTGTCAAGAGATAAAGCAGAGCAAATAAGAAAAGAGAGGTTTCTCTTTTAAAGCCAGAACAAAGCCTTTGAAAAAATGCTGAGTGACTGGAACGGTTTAGTGTCGGGTAAAGCACTGGAAAAGCATTCATCTCCCCGAGTGCGTGCCTAGATTTGAAAAATGCAGGAGAAAAAAAAACTCTCCGACGATGTTCAAAACCATGTGCAACCAGTGCTATTTATAATGCACACGACTGAAGGAAGCCCACCCCTGCTGCTATTTAAACCGATTATTATTTTTCGCACCACACTGAGCTAGACACAGACTGCAGGATGGGCACACACAAGTGCAGCAGGAAAGTGAAAGTGTCTCTTGAACCCTCCAGTCAGAACTGGGAGGGCAGGTTAGAACAATGTCACAGGAACACAGTCATATGAAAAACTTCGTAGAGAGAAAGAATCAGTGCAGCTTCCCAGGGTTCAACAAACGCATAAACCACAGTTTTGCCTGCCTCGGTGTCCGTGTGTGTGTAGAGGGGTGGAGAATGACTGCTGAAAAAAAGGACACCGAGACACATTTTGTAAACCATCACGTATAACTTTAAAGGGGAAAAAAAAGACTTTTTTTCTTACTTAAATGTGAAAATTTGCAAAATTCAAACTGGAGTGAGATACGTTCTTTAAACACGCCCCTGCAGCCAGCTCCTGCTTAAAGATAGCCTTTCACTAAGCGTCCAGCCTGCGACATGCTGGACAAACTGAAAAGACAGACCGCTGACATATTCGGACAAAGCCAGGATCCAGCAGATGGAGGTCTGCACATTGTAGGAAGGAAATTTAAACCCTAATGGCTTCACACCATTCTGATGCAAAGAAATCCAATCGTGGTCCAAAAGGGTCAGTGTGTCAGCAGAATTGCTGGGCGTCTGTAAAGCAGCAGCACCTGAAGAGCTGGGAGGAGCTGTAAAATCGGTCCAGTTCAGCCAGAAACCAGCTGGTTTAGCTCATTAAGAGGCGAGTTGGAATGTGAAGCTGCAGGCACACCGACTCTCCAGGACTGGACACCCCTGATCTAGACCAACCAGAAACAAATACATGGAATCAAGCGAAAAAATGTTTCTGCAGTTAACTAGCTTGGAATAGTACCAACAAATCAGGTAACAATAACAATAAAAAGAACAACAGAGTGGCTGAAACCACCCTAACATCAACCCATTACGGAGAAGAAACTCTTATGGTTCACCTTTCCAAGATATCGAACACTGTGCTTCTTTTCTAAAGAAAGCAATCACTGCACATTTAAACCAAGAACAGAGCATGGTTTCCGTATTTCACTTTAAGAAATCCGTTTCGTTTCCAGGGAAGCGAGATCAAATTCGGCACAGTCTGGAGTTCAACGTTACATCACTAGAAAGTGAGGAAGTTACGGAAGGTAAGTCATCTGGCAGCTTCTTTTGAGGTTTTACTTGGGAGTGTCCCCATTATCTCACCATTCCAAATAAGAGCCCATGTAAAGTAAGAATAATGTAAGGGAGGGCCCCCACCCCCACCTGAACACTAAGTTTCCCAAACCCTCCCCAACAACCAGGAGTGTTATCTGTGTGTCTGCGTCTCACATGGCAGCGCCAAGCCCAATGAACCTACTGAGAAACCGTCTCCCCCTACTGCTACTGTTTTCTAGACCTGCCCCTTCCAGGTCACTTATAATAATAATAATAATAATAATAATAATAATAATAATAATTGCTTACACTTATATAGCGCTTTTCTGGACACTCCACTCAAAGCACTTTACAGGTCATGGGGATCCCCTCCACCACCCCCAGTGTGCAGCCCCACCTGGATGATGCAACGGCAGCCATAGTGTGCCAGAACGCTCACCACACATCAGCTATTAGTGGGGAGGAGAGCAGAGTGATGAACCCAATAGATGGGGATTATTAGGAGGCCATGATTGGTAAGGGCCAGGATGCCGGTACTCTTTTCAAGAAACACCCTGGGATTTTTAATGACTACAGAGAGTCAGGACCTCGGTTTTACGTCTCATCCGAAGGACGGCGCCTGTTTACAGTATAGTGTCCCCGTCACTATACTGGGGCATTAGGACCCACACGGACCGCAGGGTGAGCGCCCCCTGCTGGCCCCACTAACACCTCTTCCAGCAGCAACCTTAGTTTTTCCCAGGAGGTCTCCCATCCAGGTACTGACCAGGCTCACACCTGCTGAGCTCCAGTGGGCTGCCAGTGGTGAGTTGCAGGGTGATTTGGCTGCTGGCTTATCATCTGATTCACACTCCTGGAGCAACTCGCTCACTGGGTACATCCCGAAACAGTCAACTCCTCCATCGGACCCAGGTGAGAGATTTAATGATCAAGCCAGATCTCACTCTCACCAGCTGTCCAAATAGGTGCCCTGTGTTGTCCAGGCCCATAATAACGCAGGCGCCATTTTCCTCAGCCAGGGTACTGTACAATCCCCACCGTGGGATTTTTTTTGTCTATTTTCAGAAGCACCGATAAAACTCATAAAGTTAAGCTGTTCTCAAAGTACGAACTTGATGCCCTGTTCTTCCCCTTAATAACCTGTGATCCTTTCAACACGGAAATGTGTTCAAGTGCTTTATCTTCCAGAGACAAAACACACAAAGACAGACGAACACCCTGTAACTACGAACAACCCGGCCTGCTTCAGCCTTTCCTTTACCCCTCCACATGCCTTTCTGCGTCCTTGGATGTTTTGTCTGCCTGGTTACACATGGGTCAGAGTGTCTCCAACACCTGGATTCCACTCACCCTTGGCTCTCCGCAAATCAAATTAGTCTGCATGGCTAAATGTGTCCACTGTGTGAAAAGACAAAGGGCGTACAGCTGTCACCTGATATTTGTGTGCAGGGACGCCTAGGGAGTCTGAAACCATGAGGCAAATACAACCTGTTCTTAAAACAGCTTTTCAGAAAAACGGCACGGGGATATAGGAGGCAAGAGATGAATACATTGTTAAGCACAATGCCGGGCTCTGGGAATAAAACCGCAAACCATTTGATGGAATCAACTTTACTGTATCACAAAAGTTGATGTTCATCGACATCAGTATTAATGGGTTAGGAATTTACTTAATTCAAACAGTACTCCTTTTTATTTGATTTAGACTCTATCATCCATCACAGTCAGGGTTACGTGCTCAGTTTTCAGAAAGGGAGTGGATTCAAACGCCATGTCTGCTTCCGTTTTCATAGATATAAATATCCTAATAACCATGCCATATAGTATAATTAAGCATTTCACAACAAGAAATATCCAAAGATTGCACCTTACAAGCACATGGCAAGAGATTTTTGTATTGATCTGGTCCCATCTCATAATGATTTCTAAAACAGCCAAATAAGGTGACAGGTCTTTTTAAAAACCATCCCTCCTGCCACATATCCAAAGACTATAGCAGGCATGAGTGTGATCGTCCAAACTCTCTCCTCTCTCGCTTCTCAGCCACAGTTAAGATGGCTGAGGAACCACAACAGGTGAAAGCTCTACCGATATGGACAGTTGTGTCAACACAACGCCAAAAAACGGAAAACACAAAGGGAAATTTGTTATGGCCGATTGTGCCCCAATACCAAAAAACTCCAATCGTATCGCCTAATGGAACAGATTACCAAGGCAAGCTGTGGAGGCAGAGAAACCAGCATCTTTCTGAATGAAGTCTGATGCTGTGGTAGCACCACTCAAACTGGGACAGAAGGAAAGACCTGTTCTTCCAAACAAATATTACAGACGTCATTCTTAAACCATACAATACTGAACATGGGAAGACCAGAAACAAAAATTACAGATTGCTGGGACTGGTCTGATTCCTACCATCAAAGTGAAAGACTAGAGATTGTTTAAACATCCTTGACACAGCACTGGCATTGCATTTTCTTAGTATGATTGCATTTGACTGGTATTTAAATTGTACCATTATTGCTCCTCCAAGCTGTATATTACACATGTATTCATTTTGTGCTGCTCTTGATATCACTGCACTGAACTGTACCGTCTTTGAATATTACTATCGTACGGCAGCACTGATATGCACTGTATTTTTTTTCACCGATTTGAATCACCCAGGCAAAGGGCACCTGCTAAACAAACAATAAAAGGTCACCACCGTTACACAGTTCTGGACTCACAAACGTGCTAAAATTAATCTTTCCCACAGCTTGCTCAAATCACACACACAGTATCTGTAGGATATCAGGTCTTACCTCAAACAGTCTGTGGCACCACCAATGTCATAGTTTTGTTTATTATTTAACAAGAGTGTTTCATTATTTCTGGAGACTAACTTACTTGACAAGAACGATTCTAAAATCTTTTGGGAACATAACCTCGGCCAAGGAGCTCCAATGTTGGAAGACTTCTTAAAAACCTAAGTAAGGCGTTGCAGTATTTTTTTTTATGTTGAATCCATTTCCACTCCCTCCTTCTCACGAGAACTCGTAGCTTAGTCACCCACTCTTAAAACATATTTAGCAGTTGCTGTGCTTTTCTGTTTACTAGTCCAGGCTATGATGGGTGTTAAAATAATTCAGTGTCAAAGCATTCAAACCGACTCATTCATCTCAAAGCTGCCTTTAAAGGGCGGTTAGACCAAAGGCAGAAAAGCCAACAAAACATGAAAAAAAGATTTTCAAAGACTGCGAGACCAAATCTACCGCCAGAAGAAGAGTCTAAATTTATGGATCAGCTGGTGGATTAGGACACTGTGCCCAGCCAAGCTCTCTCTTGCAAAACTTAACACTCAGGCTACCTGCTGTCATCACTGACTATGTAGAAAAGAAGCCAGCTTGCAGAAATGTCTTGAACCACATAAAAATTAATGGTGGCTTTACGAAGGAGCAGATCCCTCATTAAGGGCTTTCTCCAGAAACTAAAGATGAGATCTTCTCTAGGTATGGATGACCTAACTGGGTAGTTATTAAAGCATCACGTGCCCGTTCATTTTTAGCCTCAGTCCAACTCCCTCCTTTCGCAGGCTTCAGCACTGACAGAGGCCACTGACCTACTGGAATGAGTGAGGCTCTGACAGCTGTTTTCCTCAGAAGAAGCCTTTGCAAGCTTGATTAGGGACTGTAACACATTAACCAACCCTAAGGCCTTAAGGTTGACATATGTGTCACAGTGGAAGCCACTAAGCCTATCTTGATAGATTTTATTGCCCCTGCCTTTTGTGGGATGGGGGAAAGACTGCAAGGACGGATGTAAAAAAAAGGTCTGAAGGACAAAAGTAGGTAGGTCATTAACCAGGGACAAAATGGATGTAGAGGAGTGTTTATGGACAAATGTTAAGAACGGCCATTCAACCAACGCTGCACTCGATCTGTGTGGAATGGGACAGTAATGCAACTAATAATAATAATTAATAATTCCTTACACTTACATAGCGCTTTTCTGGACACTCCACTCAAAAGTGTTTTACAGGTAATGGGGATCCCCTCCACCAGCACCAGTGTGCACCCCCACCTGGGTGAGGCGCTGGCCGCCATAGTGCACCAATACTCTCCCCACACACCAGCTCTCAGTGGGGAGGAGAGCAGAGTGAGGAAGCCAACTGTTCCACAATGATCCCCATTGGGGGCGGGGTGTTTTCACCAAAAAACTCATATTTAATTTAACAATGTAGGCCTAGAGAGACGGAAAAAAAAGGGCTTCCTACATAAATCTGTGTGAAATCTGGAATCACCCCCCATCTGCTTTGCACCCAGTCCGTGCAACTTTAATTCGAATCAGCACTGTTCCACTCGCAACACTTAAACTAAAAAAAGATGAATAAAAAAAGCTTAAATACACATACTCTCATATTTCCCTCATCTGCTAACAGTCCCATGTGCCTTGCCTTGTTACCGAGCCAGTACCTTTCACACAGTGCCTATTTCCAGGCTAGACCCACCCCCTCTCCTTGTGCATTATCTTCCCGGTAGGACACCCAGAGCCCCAGAGAACATTTCCAATGTTAAATGAGCTAAAAGGAAGCAGGTCCAGCTGTATATCCGACGACACAGTGGAAAGATTTTCAGAGCCCCAGCTAAAAGCTTGGAGAGTGAGGAAAGCCCTGCAATTATGAGGGAGTTCAAAGCATCACAGAGCCAAATTAAGGGCCTCCTTAACCTTCAGGTCAGCCAGCAGCTCCACGAAGCCTCCCCTTTCGTGCAATATGCAGTATGTGTCAGGTCAAGCCCTCTCCTCCTCCTGGTGAGCACATGCACATGCCAATAATACTATTAATATTCAAAGACCCTGCGTTTCTGATGGTGGGGCCCTGGGCTGCTGTACTGTACCCCCAAAGCGCCGGACAGCCCACAACAAGTCTGGGACTCGGCCACACGGAGCGTTTTCAAAACCCGCCTGAACACCTTCCTGTTTTCAGAAACGATCCTTTCTCCTGCGAAGATCCTCTGCGTCTGCTTTGTCTGCGAATTTTCTGTCATTTTACCGTGCGTCGTGCTTTTGCGTGCATCGCAAAGATCTTTTGGGTGACTGCTGTGCAAAGGCGCTATGCAAAACATATGACTATTTTCTAGTTAGTGACGGCACAATCAGCGTGGGGCGCTTGTCTTTTCCTCGGGTGACACCTCAACATGCAAACAGGGAGCGGGGCTGTCAGGCCACTGACCTAAGGAGCAGAGAAATAAATAACAACGGTATGTATTGCTTCCGAGGGATCGCCTGTGCATCCGACACAGAGGACAAGCCGCGTTGATAAACACAGTAATCGCCTTATCTGTCCAGCCACAAGCCTTTAGATACCCCCCACACACACACTGCCTGAGTCTTGATCGAAAGCCGCCGGATTGAACCTTACTGGATTAGATCCGACATGTTTGGTTTCCTACGCGTACGGCTGAACTCGCTGCTGCCACAGCTGACAACCAGCCTCAGCAAAGAGCAAAAAAAAACAAAAACAAAAGTCGAACGCGTTCAAGTACCAAACCACCGTTTTATTTTCTCCTAAACGTTAAAAAAAAACGTCCGTCCCCCCCCTCAAACCAGACGTTATGACCCGATTTTTTTCTCCTTCCTGTAGCTAAATATACTATCTGGTGTGTGAAGGTCACCATCTAGCATAGGGTTTACAGCAACCCTTTGAGACGGTTTTTAACTCCTCACAGGCGAGCGCGGTCTGCAAACCCCCCCGGCCGGCGTGCCGATATCGATATCGATCCGATCGGAAGCGATAATCAGGGCGGGATCGCACCCGGCATGTGAAGAATGGAGGGAGAGGGGAGGGTAGAGAAAGAGGTGTGTGTGTCTGGGGGGGGTAGGGTAGATTTCGCTTTAAATTTATCCCAGTCTCCCCCCCACCGCCACCTCTCATGTCAAAATGGAGCCGGTTCGACAGCCGTCCGCTCCCCTAAGTGACTTTCAAGACGCGACCCCGCCCCCCCGGCTATGAACCAATAATTATTATTTGTATTATTAATGTATAAATTACTAACAGGAATGACAGCAGGGAGCCGTTTGCAGGCAGGTTTGGGTTTTAACCATCAAAACCCCGGTCCAACCCCGGGGGGGGCACCGAGACCCAACTTCAGCTCCGGCAGCCGAACCGGGTCGTTACTGCCGTGGACTGGACTGGACTGGACCGGACCGGGGCAACCCGGGACTTCAGGCTGTTGGCCACACGGCACCGGACCGGGTTCGTGTGCTCGTGGGAGCGACACCGGGGAGGTTTTAACCGCTGTGTCGAACCCACGCGTGGTGCTGGTGGGTGAGTGGGGGGCACACGACACGCAAGGTGGTCTTTCTGTTAAAGGAAGTCGTGTCTCCTGCTTTCAGTCTCCATAAAGTTTCAATTTATAGGGGGGGGGGGGTGTTTACCTCACCCGGCCGGGGAGCAGGAACACTCCGGCTCTCCGAGGGAGAGAGAGAGAAAAACCCATAACTAACCCCGCCTCCTCCAACATAAAAACGTAAAAATATTTTCCCTCACCAGCCATTAATAAATAAAAAGAACTATTTAAAAAAAAATGATATCTAGCTTACCTGGTGTGTAAACCCTTCGTTTAGGTCAGGTAGCTTCAGATGCGTAATCGTTGCATGAAAAGGTAAGGAACGCAGAGAAAAAAAAATCTTTTTTTTTCCCGTTTCTTGAAAAGTACCCGTAATTTTGACAGATCGCGAATTCGGTCGTTGCAATTTAACACTGAATGTGATGTCCCCTCTCTTCAAGCTGCCCTAGAGTGAGAAGGAAGGAAAAAAAACAGCAGTAAAATGTGTCTGATCCAAAGCTGGGCTGTTTTTTTTATTCAAATTCCAAATTCCAGAGAGGGAAAAAGGGGAATACAGACCGCCCGTGCAAATCTCTACAATAAGATTCCCAACAATTATCTTGTAAAGCAAGACGACATGCTGTAGTCACACGGCAGAATGGAAAACGCAGTTTTTAAGCTGTTTTTTTCCTCTAATGAATGCACATCGAAAAACCCATGTAACGAGACTTTAAAGTGCAAAAAAAAAAGGAAATGTTTGTTTTTAATATATAAAAAAACTGCGCACAGACACACGCAGAATTTATATCCAACGGAGAAAATTCTTGATAAGTCCAATTCTCGGAGCGGAAGGTCTCTGACAGATCCCCATGAAAAGAGGAAAAAAAACCCAACATTAACTATAATTATATAATAATAAAGCATTCAGTGAGATCTCCTTAATGGTGTTCCAGCAGCCATTTTGTAGTAACTGACAACTGCAGCTCGCTTCTGAGCCGAACTCAAACAGGAAGTGGCCCCCATGCCCCAGCTGCTGGTCATGTGACCTCGGCCAACAAACAAACCAGCCTCTCTAAAAAAAGACTGGCTCCGCCCCGCCGTCGCCTTGACAACCGGAGCCCGGCCGCCCGCCCCCCCTCTCCTCCTCCTCCTCATCCCCCGCTGCAGAATTGAGCGTCGTCAGGCGCAGAGCTGTTCCCGCTGACCCGAGCGCTACTGCTGCGTTAATCTGATGGACAGACAAGACAGTGTCGTGGGGGGGTTCACCCTCCCACCACCCTCCCCTTTCCTTCTGTGGGGAGCCTTTTCTTTTAAGAGATTCCTACCCCAGTTCAGGACCACTTATTGCGTATCAGCCACAGCAACAAAAACTTTGCAATTGCAATTTGAATGCTTACAAAGGCCCGGAATACGCAGCCGTACTGCTGAGCCCGGAGCTTCAAAGCTGCTGTCGGGGCAGACCCGCTGGTTGTGCGAGTGCTGTGGGTTTTACAGATCTGAGTCGGATGTTTCTCTTTGTTTCTGGCGGTACTGTTATTTCTCAAATCTCGCTCAGAGCGTGCTCTAGAGACCCCCTCTCCCAACTCCAGGAGTAACATTAAAAAGACGTGTATGCACCGTTGACGGGGACAGCGAGATAGACCCGAGTCGCAAGGAAACACCATCTAAGTGACTCAACACAGGAAAATGCGTGTCCATGGTTTCCCAGTCGAAACCAAACGGGGCATGGCTTTTCTGCAGCTATACTGTGGTTCCCTGTGATCGCCAAGAGGGGGTGCACTTCTGTAGAGTCCACAAAAAAAAACCTTCGAGAGCATCGCCAAGTACCAGAGTCGTCCTCTCAGCGTTTTGCATTTCGTTTTATGTCGGATTTAAACACTTAGTCTAATGCTCCATGCACTGCACGCTGGCCCCCATCGCCACCCTACTTCAAATAGAAGATCTTAAAACCAAAGTGATCAGTCTAGTTCATCATCTTGTCCGGTGTTTTTAGACTTCCAGTCCGAATTTCCATGAGGTGTTTTTCATCAAGGGGCCAAGCATTTTGTTTTTTTAATTATTGTGTCTATTTTAAATGTAAATACTAGTGGGTTTTAATCCATGCCTTTGAGAGTATATAAAACAACTGAGGTCTACCATGTACGATTTTATGAACAGATTGCTTGGATTACAGGACAAAGTAAACTCCCACATGGCATTGTCATTTTACACTTTAGAAACCTGTTTCATCATCGCTGCTTTCCATGATATAGTGCTTGGTTTCAGTTTTCAGCTCAGTTGTTCAAGGTGAAAGGCTGCTCCATTCTCAGTAACTTCTGCAGGTCCTGATCCTTCCTGGACCACCCTGATACACAGGCCCCATTCATTCCGAGCTGTCCTTTCTCATGGAAATGAGGCTGAACTCTGGAAGCAGGTCAGTGCTGCAATAAGGACTAGAGTTACAGCTGACCACTAAAAGCACTTTCAGTAGCCCTCAGACATGACCTTCAAGTGTGTGCTTTTTTAGTTCAGGGAGGGGACAGAGGTAACACCTGATCAGAAACACATCATAAGCATTTTGTCACCTCAAGACTAATCGGAGAAGCACTTCAGTGTCACTGTGTGTATAGAGCTGTGCACGTGTTATCACATTGTGTCTGTCATAGTTGTAGGGATCAAAATATTACAAGTGCACAAAACATAACAATGCATGCTACAAAAACTTTGCTCTTGGTGCATAAATGTTCTTTTTAAGATGGATATTTGATAAATATTATTCAGAGATCTTTTGCATACCTCTCTATTAGTTTTAGTCTCTGTTCACAGACTCTGTTGAGATTCAAATCATGCTTTCACTTTTCCTCCATTTTAAATTTTTTTACAATTCAGCAAACAGCTCTTAGATGAGTTTGCGGTTTGAACCTAACTCTCAATTCTACCTACAAGAGCAACGGCAATCTTCACATGCAAATTAACAAGGACACTTCATTAATCATGATCTCCTGAAAACCACTACACTATTGCCAGTAAATATCACAGGTGGCAGTGATGCAGTACATCAAAAAATAGAAAACAAAATGAAACAAGGAGAAACCTTAGGGGATTCTAACTCTACTCTTCCAATCTTAATTGAGCGGTCTTACAGATCTACCTCCTTTATTACTGTTTGGCTGCAACGGCCCAGACCCCTGGATGTACATGAAGAGAAAGAGTGCAGACTGAGGAGAAGCTCCGTCATGCAGGCCACAGCACAGCTTTCCTCTCTGGGCTGCATTCCAGCTCCGGAGGAACAACCAAATATCAGGGAGGGATTGCAACAGTGCCTACACGAATGCTGTGCGGGCTAGGGAGAGAGAAAGGGAGGGGGTGTAATTTAACATGACACTGCCCGCGCCAGACAGCATCTGTAGCAGCACTTTACTTCCAGCATTCCAGGAGAGATGCAAAAAAAAAAAAAAGCACCTTCTAGAATCTTGATCGAGGCGGTGCCACATCCTCCAGCATCGGGAGAAGGTCTGGAGAACAAAGAATGGCAATAAAAAGGCATCGAGCATCCTCACCCTGCGTGCTCCCACCAAAACACGTCGAGCTTCTGTCTTTGAAGTGCCTCAGATGTTTCTTTGACTTTGCCAATTTTGTTAATTGCTTTCACATTTAAGCCGCTGGTGATGGAGCACAGGCAGCGGAAAGGTCTGGCTGACATTCTGATAAAAGAGGGAGCACAGACACGAACACACATCATCCAGCATTGGCAAGCGCTCAGTCAGTCCCACTCTCACTGGGGTTTCTTCTCCCCCTTGCCTTTCGTTTCAGTCGAGAATCTAAATCGTGCCCAGTCACACATGATGATCTGATTTCACTCCTCTGGGGTTTGGCTCCAGGAATCTCTCTTGCCCGTGCAGGTGCAGTCTGTGTCTTCTGCTGCTTCCACAGAAACCCACACATAACAGCCTGCCGGCAGATTTTTAATTGAGTAAAAAGTATAATTCATTCATGCATTTGGTCGTGAACTTCATACAAGGTCTTTCACATTGTTAAAGGGCAGCATAACCAAAGGTGTGCAAAACTTATAAAAGGAGTAAAGAGTGTTTAAATTACTAGGACTCACAAAACAAAGCACTATTACAGTAACTACTGCGCCTGCGGGGACAAACTGATGTTATACTTTCAAAATCCATTTTTCGCGATTTCTGAACAATATAAAAAAGTCAGAAAGGACACATCGGGACATCTATCACTGTAAGTAACCTAGAGGTGTTCCTGCCAAAATATCATTTGCAGTTTAATTAATAATGTGTTCACAAAATCCAGTAGAGGTATTTATTTTACATCCTACCCTGCTGATGTGAGAAGCACTGCACTCTGCTTTCCTTACAGGCTATAGAAATACAAGAAGATCTCTACAATAGCATTATTTCTACTAGTACAACTCAAGACCTTGCTTTTCCTCTTTCCCAGTGACAACCCCCTCACTTGAATCTGCTAGAATATATAAGATGCAGTGACCAACTAAAAAAGAGTTAGCAAAGGGTCAGAATTGGACCTCACTAAAACGAGATGTGTCTGCCTGAAGTTATCACCTACCAAGGATATTGCTCATCAGTAGCCACACCTGACACTTTAGAGAAATGAATGGGAGTCCTTTGGAAACACAGGATGAAAACATAACACTTGTTTGTATTATTTTCAGCATGCAATTACTTCACCTTTTATGCTGGAGAATATTACATTACACAAACTAATTTCCCCCTGTTAATTACTGCTGGCAATTGGAAGCCCAGTAGCTCAGCAGGCAACGCAGTAAGAGAAGGCATGAGGGTTGTCAGACTCTGCTACCCGTTTGTTTTTCAGTGAATTAAGAAAAGATCAGCAGTGAAAATGATAGGCTGATAGCTGGAAGTTTCGATGAGTGTGAAAACGCCCACCTCTCAATCTTTGACTTTGTGCGTGATCACCGGTTGGTTAACATCCCCTGATTGGAGTAAGCAGGGGCTGAGTAAGAGCATCGCATCCGCATTCCGAAAGATTTTTTGCCGGTGTGTTTCGGGGATTTTCAAGCAGTTGGATGGTAAAGACGGTGATCCACGTAATGGCACACATGGGAACAAAGGGAGACGTCAGATAATACCGTGTTGCCGATAAACAACATGAGAGCAGGCGTTGGGTCAGGAACCGGTAGAAGATGACGGGAGGATTGTGATGGATGGGAGCAGGGACTGACGTGAGGGTGATCAAGATCAGAGAGCAGTCACCGTTTGACAAATGCAGACTAAGATTAGGTGGCATTGGGTTTTTTTTTTTTCAACGGGCGTTGTAAAGATTAGGATTAAGCATTGTTGAGGTGCCTGATAAAGCAATGTGGAACAGCCACAGCTTGCTAATGTATTGGACCTTGCTCCCACAGTGGCTCAGGGCAGTTTACACAGGAAAAGTCAAATAATATCACGGTCAGGAGCTAGCAAAGCAACACAGGCCATTACTGAGTAAGCGGGTCATAAGTAGCGCAGAGTAATGGGACCGTGCCTCTCAGCTGCCTTGATTTCCCAGGAGAGTGGGACTGAAGCAAGGGTCTGGGAGTGCAGTGAGAGGGAGCTGGGGAAATGCGCTGGGGCTGAGGGAGGGACGGACTCGGATTAAAGACAGTGATCAGGAATACATATCCTTCACCGACCTGAAATGCAGGTTAAAGACATATACGTGTGAGGCTTTAACTTAAACCACTTTCGCATAAAGAAAGAAATAATGCATTTTTAAAAGTAAAATTCATTGTCTTCCTAGAGAGACCAGCCTCCTGCGCAACCAGACATCTCTCCACACGCACACACAAGCGCACATGCCTACACACACACACACATTGCTATGAAATATTAGGCCCGTGTTGATCTTCTAATGTCTTGGGAGCTGACTGGTTAATCAGATTTATTACACACTTAAATTTAATTCATTGTCTTTATGAATCTAAATTAATAATTAACCGCCAGTAAGGACTTTCAGAGAACCGCATCGTATAGAACCGTCTGGGTATTTGTTTCAGCTGCAGTGCCCTGTACTGAAAAGCAAATGCCAATCACACCTCTGATACTCTATTTGAGAAATTCTACAGCAGTGAAGTTACCGCCCTAATCTACAACACCGGAGAGCATCCGTCAGAGTGTAGCACACACTCAGATAAGAGGATGGTGTGAGCAGTATGTGTGAATGCTGATATCCGCTCTGCATGAGCAGGGCAGCCATGCTCAACACAAGCCACTCCCAGATCATTGCATCTCCCGCTTCAGTACACCCAGTACTTGAGCTGCTCCTGGTCAATATCAATTAAGGTAACTGAGGGGCTGACAGCCACGAAGCTCTGGAGTGGAGCGCTTGTGTCCCAGACTGAGAAACCATTGATACAGACACACTGGCCAAAATATTAGGAACATCAAACACACACGCGCATGCATGGCCACCCCTCGGCCAGAACGCTCCCGCGACCTCAATCCAACTGGTGGAAACAGTGCAACCTGCAGAATAGTTCCCATATGCCTTCTCCCTTCTCCGTCTCTCCAGCTGAAGACGACCCTGCCCTGAGATGGAAAAGAATTGGGCTACAAGTATTTCGAAATCTGGAATATGCGCTGTAGTCCTGCTCGGGCTATTTCTGCCAGTCAAAGAGGTCCACTGTGTTCTTCCACAGAGGATCCCATCATGATGGTGCTTGTGTGAGAGAAGAATGTTCTAAAGGACAGAGGCTCCCAATGTTGGTACACCTCACCCCACTGTCTAAGGGTTCCTATTCCAGTTGTGCATTCAGTTGCTTAATTGAACCCTTAATTGAGCATATAATTTGAATAATTGGACCTTTTCCATTAACATCTGCAAGAGGCTGACAATGTCAAGTCAACGACAACATCTAAAAAGGTCTAAATATGCCAGCTATTCAGTTTTCTTCACTTTTCAGTGTTCCTCCTCAGTATAGCACCAGGTACCCTTGTCTGTCATGTGGGAGGCTGGGGAACTGATTCAAGTATTCAAAATCCTCAAAGCACTGCTCAAGCCAACACTATTGGGCTTCTTCATTTTCAGCAGCGAAAGATGCCGAACAAGCAAGAGGATACAAACAGAAACTATGGGGAATGGTGTTTAAAACTGAGAACGGGAAATACTTCTTTACACGAAGGGTGGTGGGAGTCTGGTACAGGTGTTTGAAGTTGATACCCCGACTTCTTTCCAGAAACCTCTGAATGAGATCCCCAGATCAATCAGCTACAGTACTAGCAACCAAATAAGCTAGATGGGCCCTCCTCTGTTTTGCAGTTAGTGCTTTAATTAGACAGCAGGATGCCTATCAGTTTTACTGAGCCAGTTCCTAGGCATGGAAAGCAACATGCAATTAATGCTTTGTAACCTAGATTGTCACAAGATAAACACAGTAAATTTAGTTTCCAGACTGAACTATGTTTTGATAGAAACTGCTTGTAGGACTATAACATTAATTACAAAAATTGGAAAGGAAATACAAATTAATTTGCTCTTCTTGTAAAAGGGAGGTGTAGTGGCCCACTATAATGAGAAGAATTAAGATAATGCATTTTAAGCTTCACTTCTTTCATAATCGATAACGCAGCTCTCTGATAGGTTGTTTCCACAGTTTAATCCTACTGAATCCAACTTGAAGTAATATCTTTTAACCAGCCCCGAACTGATTAGCTAATATTGACAGACCTTCCACAGTTTAAGCACAGGGCTGAGTCATTGTGATTTGCAGTGATGATCAAAAGAAAAGGCGAATTAGGCTCATGGTGTTATAGATGCAATAATTGAAAAACATTTATGTAGGAGGCTGATTGTCATGAAAGAGCTTACCTTAATTCCCCAAAGTTTACTTTAGAGAATTATAAACATCTGTTTATGCTTAAAACATGTGTGTGGCCTTATCAGGTTGTGCATTGTATCAAAAAAAATATTTGTTAGCCATTTTAATCACACACATTAATGCCCGGTGCAATGAATATGAAAGTCAAACTGCAGAAAATGTTCGATAAACGCCCCCTTGCAAGTTCTACAAAAGCTAATTCCTGGAGTTGTATACGGTGCTCTAGCTGTGACATGGTCTCGGTGCCCCATTGACGTCAGCGATCAATAAGCATCTGTGCTTACTTGGCAGACTTTAAAATCTGAAAGAGTACCCGTAACTGAATTTAACCGGTTTGCATAATTCATAGGTTTAGCTGCTTCTGCCAAATGCGGGGCAAATTCTACCACAGATTGTTATCGCAGTCTTGTTCTGATGTATCAACACCCGGCTGTGGGATTTCGGAACAACAACACTACACATATGGGTAAAGGGGCACAGGGGCAGGTTAAAGGTCCAGGGGTGGTGTCTGCCGTTCTGGCGGTACCCCCAAAATAAAGCTCCCAGAAGCGGACAGCGGAGACTCGGAAAGCCCTTTGACAGAGGTGGCGAACAAAGCCGTTCTGCGAGGGTGAAGGACCACAGCGCGTCTCCCGCAGGAAGCGCCGCCGCGGGAGAGAAGCGGGGCTGGGCCGCCGCGGAGTGTCACTTTGATTAATGCCGCTTCCCTTTAAATGACCCCGAAGGTCACCTGAAGAGTGGGAACGAAGCCTCCCCGACTCCCCGGAACACCGGGGGGGGGCAGCGACTGCATAATTGACTCCCTGAAGGACCGGAGCGAAGCGCCGCTGCTGGAATCTGAAATGTAATCAAACTCTCTGTAATGCAACGCGCTGCGCGGCGCTCTCGGTTCAAGGAGGCGGGCGCGGGGGGAGTGGGGAAGATTACTCATAGCACCCCCAATTCTCTTTAACTCCCTCCAGCACGCACACACACACCTCCTCGGAGGACCAGCAGTGTGGGGGGGGGGGCAGGGGACGAGGGAACGAGGGCGATGAACCGATCAGACATACTCCGAGTCGGTGCGCTTTTTTTTCCATTGCGAGAGCCCCGGTGC